ATTATGCTCCAGAACATGGGTAGTTCCTGCCCAACCCAGTCTGCATCTTCATCTACAGACTTTCTGTTTTGCTTGGTGACATGTTTTTTCACTGAAGTCAAGGTCTGAAAATCTCCAAGGATGGTGATTCCACCATAAGTATGGCTGAGTTGTTCCAGTGTGGCACCACTCTCATGGTGATTTTCTTATCCTTATATCTAGTTGGCATAACCTCTGCTGCAACTTCTGACCAATCATCATGGATTAAGCAGAATATTTTGGCCAGGGTTTGGTGAGTCTGAAATGTCTTCATGGCTTTACTGAAATCATTTCATTTTGCAAAGCCTGAAATATTTTATTTGTGTTTGGATCTTTTTTAAGTCATTCAGAGAACTGACATTAAAGACTCATTTTGCTATACAGTCAATCAGGAATGAAGGGATGTCTCCACACTAGAAATTTTTAAGCTAGTAGTCTTCAGCTAGACAGCATGAACACCTTTGCTTCTAAAGAGGGAGGACAGAAATAGAGAAGTTGGCACTCGTAAATCTTTCAGTGGAGTGTTGAGTTTGCTTTTCTAAAGGGCATTGGTGCGAATGTCCTTATTCTGTGGGAAGACAAGGGATTTCCAGAAGTGCCAAGGAAAGCTCATTGCAGAGTTGGTGAAAACAAGATTTGGTTTTGCAGGTTTCATCCCCAGACCTGGTCACTTGGCTGTTACTACCCACTTTTGCTTTGATGACTCCTCATGTTTTCACTGTGCAGTGCAGGGCAGGGGAACAATTTTCAATGGAGTTGCACTGAGGTGTTCTGTCTCCATTTCTAGAAGGCTTAGTTTTGTTTTTTATTAATTCCAGGAGTTGAGTGATTGTTTAAAATACAACAGTTTGGCACCACTGTCCTGTGAAGCATATGGGCACAAGACAAAGGTCTGACATGAGCCTCAGCTGATATCCACTGACATCAGAGTAACTACACCTGCTAACAGCAGCTGAGTGATCTAGTCTCTTTTGTGCAAAGCTAAAGGTTTATTTAAAGGGTGGCCTCTGCCAGGCTGAAGGACTTGTTTTAGCGTGAGAGAATGAGTAGTTCTGTACTTCCCACATATTTTTTGCAACATTTACATCAGCTTACTGATGAGGTCTTGAGACAGGGAGAAAGCAAGCCTGATTATTCTAGGGGTGCATATATTCTTTAGGAACCCTAAAAAGGGAATACTAGCTTCCTATGGCAAGAATTTACTGGAGTTGGAAGCTGATCAACTTCCCAGGGTCACCCAGTCCTCTGGCTCTTCTGCACTGTCAGAAAAAATAAATACTCAGTGGTGCCAGGAACATGGAGATTTAGATGGTCTCTGTTCCCCAGAGTTACTGCACCAAATCTATAGCTGGGAAAAGGCAGCATAATTCTGCTTTGCTGTCTTGTCCTATTTGAAGCTTCAGCTCTGAGGATTTGTTTATCAGCTCTTCAATATGCTGTATTTCAATATGAAAATTCAGCATGTTACTATGCTAACTAAAGCTGACACTTTATTTTATAAGATATCTCCTTTCTGTGTGTGGGAAGATGGGTTTTGCTCATGCACTGAGGCACACAATAAGGCTGTTATCGAACATTCCTGTGCTGTTTTGAATTAGAAGCAGCACAGTTTAAAATCAGTAAAGCTACACCAGTTTAAAACCAGAAAGCTTTCAAAGACTTTACTGGGGCATTTTGTACAGATTGTCTCAAGTGAGTATTGAGGGTCATCTTTGGTCTAGAGATACATCAGTTTATATCTGCTGAGAACCTGACTTTGAATGTGTATTCTACCAAGTTTGTCAGATTTGCTATGCTGTTTTGCAGTAAATGCCTAAAGGCTTGTTTGGTGCCTGGAGCAATGCATAATAACAGGACTTGGATATGCCAGTGACCAAGCAGAACAGCTCACTTTCTGGGGAAAGAATTTTAGGAAGGTCATTCATGGGGAGGAGGAGGAATTTTTGGATCATTTCAGAGGCGAGGAGGGAAAGGGAAAAAAAAAAAAAAGGAAGAACAGCTCATGAAGCTCCCCAGTATAGGAGCAGTGCAAGAACTAGTGCAGAGGAGGATGTGAGTCACCTTCAGGCTTTGGCTTGGATAGCAGGGGAGGTACTTCCATCTCCAAAGCTCTCCCTCCTTTTGCTTCCTCACTTGATTTTCTCCTCTCAGACTCTGTGGTGACCTTTGATTCTCAGTTCAAAGAGGATAGCAGTGCTACACAAGTAGGAAGAGCAGAGCAGGGAAGTGCAGCACCTGCTACACAGATCTCAAAGGCTATCTAAAACATAGCCTTTTCACTGTGAATTTGGTCAGCTCTTAGAAGAATGGCCTAGGGGCTGTGGGTAAGTCTGACTACCCTATCTTTTACATGGTCACGGTACACTCATGTAAGTGGGGAAGGAAGCACTAACAAATCAAAGCTTCTCCATTTCTTTACACTAGACTTTGCTTGTTTTGCATTATGCTCCACACAGAGATATTACTGCAGAGCCCTAAGCTGAGAGACTCAAAACCACATACTCTCAGTACTGTTGTCAATAAAGAGACTAGAAGACATGTAAGGGACACTGCTTGAACTGAACTATCTAATACCTAGGCATAAACTCTGTGTTCATTCTCTAAGCTTTCTTTTCTTAGTATAAAAAGCTAGGTACTGATACCAGGTGATTCATGCCACTCTGTGATTGATTTAACAGTTAGTGGTACAGGGACACATCTTCTAATGATGCTGGTATGTCTCCACTGGCTGTGGATTTGCTGAAGACATCTAACTTCCAGATAGGTAAATTTAATTGAGATAAATGTTATCTCAGGAAGCAATTTCTCCTGCCATTTCTCACCTTCCTTTGCAAATGCTTCCAATGAAACATATGCCATGACTTGTAAGAAATGAGCATGGGCTCTGAAATCAATATCATGAAATGTTACTGGCTCTACCCATGTACCTATGGCCAGCTTGTAAGGGACTCAGAGCACAGGAGTTGCTGTTAGACCTGCAGTGGCAACCTGGAGGATGTCAGCACTAAAAAAAAACAACACTGGTTTGAGGACTCAGCTTGTTTATTTATACCCAAGGAAAAAAAAAAAATAATCCCTAGAACAAAACAGAGTTATCAAACAGTAAAACATAAGCAATCTCCAACAAAAACAAAAACTCTGCTCCAACAGCATTAGTATAGCCTTCATGTATAGGAAAGGTACATATTTCACAGTACCAATAACAGGTAAGATGTCAGGCTGTATCTTCAAATCAAATGCACAAGAATACAGTGTGTAAAGATTTATTCCTAAACTTGTGCTTATTCCTAACTGGAAACTAGCTGGCTGTGTGTCTGCCCAGTAGATCTCAATCTGAGTAACATTACATGAGGGATCAGTCCATGAGTTCTAAAGAGAGCTGAGGAAAGTTGTACATGTGCATAGATATTACCTGATTTAGTTATTGAGTGTTCTCTCTTATGGTCTTATTAAACTACCAAATAGTTTCTTATTATGTTATGAGAAATTTGTTATGTCTTTGGCAGAGTTGTTTTAGGACGTTAAAATAAAATGTGCAGAATCTTCTTTAAAAATATTATGCAGATTTTTACTTAAGGTACTCTTGTGCCACTGACAGATCATATGCTTTTTGCCAAATATGCAGAACATTACAGGCCTCTAGTGGTAGAAATTATATATATATATATACTTATCTGTGTAACTGTTCCTGATGGTTCTTATTCCAGTCTCAATAAAATGCATAATGCTTTGTGTTTATAGATTTGGCTTGCTAGTTTGCTCTCTTGAAAGAAATGAAAATTCTGCAGAGACCAGAAATATTAGTGACAATTTCTGTTAGCCTGAAAACCACAATGAAAAAATAAGCTAGGTCAAAAAAGAGGCAAGTACATGGTGTATAACCCTGCTCCTGCTCAAAGTCAAAGGCTATTTTCAGTGGCCAGAAGAAGTACAATTCAAGCCTTTTCAGTGTTCCTGGCAGGTTACAACCATGCCACAACATATATAGTGAGGCCACTGCTTTTTCTGCTTGGCGTGTGCATACACAGGGCCCTACCAGTACATCTCAAAGACTAGACATTTTCTGATGGATATCATCCCCCTGACAGCATCTTAGTTGTTAATTGTCCAGTGTCATCCTCTTTTCAGTTTCTGTAAAGAAGCATGCCCTCCTGCCAGGCTTATTAGGTAGCATTTAACATTTTTTTTGCCCAGCACAAATTTATTTTGATATTTTATTGACTATACAGTGGCTAATCTACTTCCAGAGAGGGGTTTTCTTGTTTGAGAACAACAATTTTTCAGTAATAATAATAAAAAATATGCTTTAAAATAGCTTAATTTCTGAGATAAACAGTATGTGAACTTACACTTCCTGAGGCTGGACTTTGTACTATTTTCATTACCTTATTTATTCTGTAGCATGTTTAAGAGTTAAGACTTTCAAGTGGAGAACAGGAGTGAAGATCTGGAGGATGCGACGGTGATGATTCCTGAACTTTGGATAATACTTACTGGAAAGTGATAATGAAACCCAAAGACTGGGGATGTGGGGAAAATTATGTCTGCTTGGGATAACAGGGGCAGGAATACCTGCATGTATTAAACATTGACCACTAGCAAGACCAGTGCATGTTAATCAGTGTCTTTAAGTAGAGGAATCTCAAAATGTTAGTGAGCTAGCAGGGTTCACAGCAAGGGAAACAAGAGCTTCTCAGAATATGACTGCAAGTGCTCAGATGTCAAATTAAGCCCTTAACTCACCACCTTTGACTGTAGTGGCTGTTGTTTTTCTAAGTAGTTACTCCTGAGGAACAGAGCTCAGGAGAGGAGGCTGCAAAATGCCCAAGAGAATCTATTTGCTAATGGGGTGGTAGGAACCTAATGATAAATTATGTGGATGGCTATTACACTACTGGTCAGAAGTTCACTGCACAAACCAGACTACTTAGGCTGGCAACATGTTTTTACTTACTGAAGTCCTAAATGCATACTTTTTGCAGGGAGCAGAAGGAAACCATTAGATCTGTGTTTCTGTGTTACCCATTTGGAAGAAAGATGGAACCAGCAACCTGAGGTTCAGCATATTATTCTCATTTGAGTGCACAGACAAACCACAGTGAAGGAACTAGAAATAAAGAGACCTAGGGCACTCCTACTTCTAGACTACTTCAAGCAACTCATAAAACTCCTCTGCCTCTGTTTCTGTTCTACTTTGTCAAGATATCCTCATCTCTTTAGAGGTACCCCCACCTCACGTAAGCCTGCGAACCATGTGAACATTTATTGAAAAACAAACAAATAAATAAATAAGATTTTCCCTTGACTGTGCCCTCTTTCCTTATATCATTAGTTTTGACATTCCTAGTCATAGTCTTGTAATCATATTTTAATTGTCTAATACTATATCCCATTTAATTATCTAAATCTCTTCATAACAAAAAGTCATTTGAAAGGCTTCCTTGGTATGTTGGATATGAAGGGAACAAGCTGTACACTATCCATTATGTTAGCAAACAAATGAGATTGAAGTATGTGATCTGCATACTCATAAAGAGTCCTTCTTTCCAATGTCAGTGTCTGCTTTGCATTACATTGTATCTCCTGTGGCAAATTGTTTTCTTCTCTAGATGGTAGTGTGTTGACTTCCAATTAGGAGTATATGCTATTACTAAGAATGTTTATTTTCTATACTGATATTAGTAAAATTGTGTTCCAAAACACTGGAGGGCAACAAAGACAAAACTGCAAGCCCAGGAGCAAGTGCAATACTGAATGGATCCGTTGCAAGCTTCTTTCAATAGTTAAAGTGGGAAGGAATGTATGCTGCGGTCTGAACTATACTGAGCTACTAAAGCAGGATTGCTAATCCACATGATCACTTAGTATTTGGCCTATAGCCTGTAAAGACATTAGGACTTCTGATTATAGTCTAGGACAACTTTCTCTAGTACATCATGCTGTTGCAGGGGAATGGAAAACCATAGATTTCCTATTGCTGCACACTGCAGTAGGAGGAGAGAAAATTCCTGCATGTTACTCTGGCTAATTTATTTATTTATCCACCTTTATGAGGACTCTACTGGCCAGCAGCAACAGTGATATTAACAATGCTTCATATGAACACATTACCTTTTATCTGAAGATCTCCAAGCATATGTAAACAGTAATTAAACTTCATAACACCCCAAGGAGTTAAAAAGGGTTCACGTCACTCACATCTATGACGCAGTTCTGCAGCTGTTTGACTGCGTATGGTCTTGCTAGTTATGGACTGATTTACAGCTAACTGAAGGAGACTGCCATAACTGAAGTCTGAAGTTGTTTTTTGTTTTTGTTTTGTTTTGTTTTGTTTTTTGTTTGTTTGTTTGTTTTTCCTTCTGTAAATGGAGGCCTATACAGGAAATGGAAAAGCATTTTCCTATTGCTTACCTATGCTACCTTCATTACTGTGATAGCAGTATACAAATCCCAGACAAAGTCCCCCTGCAGTAAGCAAGTACTCACTGTTAGTCTGAAGAAAGGTATTTTGCCCCAATAAGGACTTCATGTCACTGTACCTTTTCTTATGATCTATAGTAATTCAAGGCAAAGCTTTCTATTTTCATAGGCCATGAATAGATTCAGATTATGGAAGGGTCATAACAAAGCCAAATCTTTTTTGTTATTGTAAATGCAAAGCAATTTCAGGAAGGTGTTTGCTCTTTTCCAAACTGTAATTGCACCTGAAGGACACAGATTGGAACATGATGTATTACCTATTGGCTACACGATCCACTATTAGAAGATGGAAAGTTGAATCGTTCAATTTCTGGTTCCTATAAATATGTGCTCTATTTGGTTTCCAGATCATTGGGTGCTGACATACCACATCACTGGAGGAGGAAAGAAGATTTTGCATCCTCAATTTGTATTGCTATTATAAGTACTTTTGTAGTCACTGTAGAGGGAATTGGAACCTGAAGAGCTTGCAATCTGCATGTTATATAGGATTAAATGCTTTGCAGGCATAGGCAGAATAAAGGTAGGAGTAGGCAAAATGGGAATAAAGTGGAGAAAAGTGGTTAGAGTTACAGAGACATCCTGGTTTGTCAGTTACCTTTTGAGTACCACATCAGTGATTTGCAGGCATTATTAGAATGAAAGACTTTAAGGTGAAAAGGAGTGAAACAGTAGCCATACATACTTTGACAGGGAGGTTTCTCCAGGTGTAGGATTGAGGCAGAAGGGTATGAAAGCATGGTGGCATCACAGAGAGATTTAGGTAAAACTAATCTGAAGTAGACATCTTTGCAGAGGGAAAGTGAGATTAATGTCTTCCAGGTGAACAAGAAGAGAGAATTGTGTCTTTAAACTGTCACAATCCCCATAAGGTTGACAGATTTTGTTGTGTTATTTCAGAGCATTTGAATTTGAACTCAGAATACACATGCTTTGCTTCTTCATTCCAGCATTCTGATTACAAGATCATCCTCTTTCCTGTACTGTGGACCTTGGTGTGGATAGTGGAAGAATAGGTAGGTAGGGTACAGGTAGAGAAAATGACACTTCTTCTCCAGTCACAATGGATGCTCACTGGCAAATATTTTCCCTTCGATAAGAACAGCAGGTCAGAATTCATTCTCAGTTCAGTGCTATTGATGGTTATGCTTGGGACTGAAATGCAAGAGGAAAACTTAAAAAAACATGAAGCACTTGAGTCTTAAAAGGAGAAGTTTGTAATGTTTTTGTATTCCCTTGACTTTGGGTGGACAAACAAGAGACAGTGGCAATCATTGCAGACCAGACAGGTATTGCACTGTAGTCTTATTATGAGGATACTGCACTAGTGGCAGCAGCAATTCAATGTATATTCTGCCTGTGTGGCTCATGCATATTGTAAACATTGAGGTCTGGTTTTGTATACAGGTACCAAGTGCTGTCTGTATCAGAGGTTTTGAACAAGCTAGTTCATTCTGTGTGCTTTGTAGAGCTCTAGGACTAGAGTAATATTCCTGACATCCCTTGGGCTGGGATTCCTCCTTCCACCTTTTTTGCACTGATTCTGAGCTCATAATCAGTGACCCTTTCTATAGTAAATGGAGAGAGAGAAGCAAGTCTAGATGGCAAGTCCTTTCTATAACTGGCTTCTGAGTTACTGTAGGCAAGCTGGTTCCATGAGGATCCTATTTTTTTGTGCAACTATTCATGGATACTGGAGTCACCAGTTCAGAACTGAGCATATAAAGCTAGGTGAGGTAACCCCCATCCTAATATCTAGATGAAAGCTCATCTGTTCCACCCTTTCTTTCTTTTGGCTCCTCACTTCAGGCCAAGATTTCAGCATGAAAAACTTGTTTTCTCTCACCATCCCTAAAGACTGCAGTTTTGTGTGTAAAATACCCTTATACCCAATTGATTAAGATATTATTTGGCTTGTTTCTAGGAGGGTTTTTGAATAATTAGAATCAGCATTAGGTCACTTCCCCTTACTAGTAATGGCCCAGGTTTCACACAATACAAATTCAAGTCATGATGACCATTCAGTAAATTTAGAGATGAAACTCAAAGGTTTCTGAGTTCTCTAGGCCTCTACATCATTCAGAAATGCACTCTTGAAGACAAGGATATTTCAGGCTCCTACCACCAAAGTTGATGCTTTGTAATAAAAACATGTAATGAGAAACTCTTTCTTTAAAGAACTGGTCAAGTAAGTAGGCAATAACATACTGACAAAAGGTGGGAATAGAAATAAAGAGGACTTAATCAGAAACCTATGCATAGGTATCTAATGCCACTGGAGATGCCTTAGGGAACCTCTGATATCCATGTGGAACTTACAGATACGGCACAAAAGCTGAAGGAATCCTTTGCCTTCTGGTGAGCAGGAGGTCAAATGAGATACCTTGGGGTATCCTGAATGCTAAAAGGTGCCTTTGTGTGGGCAGCCAAATTGGTTCTTAGAGCTTCTTTAGGTATAATAGGATCTAATACTGAAGTAGACACATATATGTTGACACCTAAGTTTAGTTATCTTTATCTGTAATTTTATTGCCCAATGTCACAAATATAATAGCTTTAGAGTCAGAAATAGAACACAGTTCTTGCACCCAAACTGGCAGAACATGGCTGGTATAGACTCATTGCCTCTAACTGTAGGTCACCTTCACCACACTCCTGTGAGATAGGCAAGTTTTCCCTCTGGTTTACAGTTTAGGAACTGAGGCAAAGAGAGGCTGATGAGCTTTTCTGAGTCCACGGCATATACTTCATATATTATATGCAGAAGAATGACACTGAAAAATCTGTGCTCCAAAAAAAAATATGTTTTTTTAAGACTATGCTGTAATTTTCCAGTCCTAAGCACAGAGACAGGCTTCTCAGCACTTATGCCAAAACCTTTATTTCCTGTTATCTTCCTGTAAACCTTCCAAGGTCTGTGCAATTAGCTGCATGGCGTAGAAGTGAGGCAATACAGGAACAGAATTCCTGTGCCAGAAGGAGCTTCTTCCTTCAAGAGTTTCAATGTACTTATGGGCTTCTGTTTGTTCAAAAGAGGCAAGAGTTTCGATTTTTTTTATGCACAATAGCTTTGTGGACTATAGCCAAATATACTGAAAAGTTTGGTACATTTGGAACCACTCAAGGTTTTCACATAGTGAAAAGTATAGCAGGCAACAATTGTCATGAAAATAAACTCTTTTAAAATGAAGTGTTTTACATCTTCCCCATCCCTAGAAATGTTCAAGGCAAGGCTGGATGTGACTTTGAGCAACCTGGTCTAGTGGCACATATCCCTACTCCTGGAAGGGGGGTTGGAACTGGTTGTTAAGGTCCCTTCCAACCAAAACAATTCTATGATTGTATGATTCAATGGTTTTCAGAGTCTTGCAATGATGATTGATATCACCTTAAATCACCTCTAAAATATTCTTCAAAATGAACTTCATAATACAGAAATACATTTAGCTGTATTTCTCCAGAAATATACACGAGCTGGTAATTGCATATAAACATAACAAACTGAGTCATTCAATTAGTATTCTGTAGGAAATTCTATTACCATAAAAACATCTATTATTATGTTACACATTCTTGCAAGAGTACTCATAAAAACAGCTGTTACTTATTTCTGTCACTAGCAATTGAATGCTGATGTGATATTAAAAAGTGGAAGGTAGGGTGGGATTACATGAATATCCCTTGACAAATCTGCTCATGAAGATGCTATTTCAGAAGTTCAGAGCTTTGTTTGGATGACAGTCTTGCCAAGTAATAAGGTAGTACTTCATCTGCTGGTAGCATTAACAGTATGATCCTGTCTTTCTTGAACTTCTCATAATTTTGATTTTTGATTATTTACACACACCATATGAGGCATATTATCCCACAGGTAGCTCTAGATCTTCTTTAGCAAGAGTGTAGATGTAGACATGAGCTGAATTAGAGACTTGATTTAGGGGGGACTTTCTTTCTGTGCTGGTACATATGCACCGTTTGCATTTATACCTTATTGAAGTCTCTCCTTCTCCTGTACCCTTCATGTCAGATGAAGCTGGTCAGGAAAGTACCACCTTATATGTATGTTGCAAACCTAGTGCTGTAAGTCATCCTTCGGACTTCACCTCTGGTCAGGCATCCGGAAGCATAAGTTTCATACATACATTTCATACATACATACATCAGCTAAATTGCATATGAAGTGAATTTGTTGGCATTCAAGTCTTCCAAGGGATATGCAAGTTTCAGGAGGCATCTGACCTCCTCAGATCTTTAAATGTGTACTGATAGTTAAGGTTTTGGTGCCTTAGCTGGTCAGATATTCTTTAAACCAGCTTGAAACTCCTTCTGCTATTATTTGTTGTTTTGTTGACTTCAGCAGGCTGGTGATATCACTTGAAGTTGTGTTCCACTGCAGAAAAGATCTTGTCTTTCACTGTTTTCACTATCACCCCATGCCTCCCTGCAATTTAGAGCTGATAAAGAAAGTCAATTTGCTTGTTTAGTAAACTTACCTCAGCCTTTTTTTTTTTTTTTTTTTTAATTGTTGTTGATTATTAAAGTTCCTTGAACATGGCTTATACCTTTGTAACACTGGGAAAATGAAAATAAATTGGATATCAGGTCTAAGACTTTGAGACTTTTCCACTTTATACAACTTGGTTTTGACTCTGTGGATGACTGAAATAATATAATGATGGCCTAAAAACTGGAAAAAGTTAAAAAAAAAAAAAAAAAAAGAAAAAAAAAAGGTCTTAAATTTGGTGTAATAACTTGGTTAATATCAAGAAACAGTTCTCACTTTTTCAAGCAATTTTATCTATATTGAAAGAAACTTTTTAGGTAGTTAAGTAATTTTGGTCTTATTTTACAAGAGAGTTAGCTAAATGCCCAGAACTAGAAGGAGCATGGCTAAAAGAGGTGAAGTTAGAACCCATTATGTTTTGAAATCTAGATGAGTACAAAAGCATATCTGTTTCTTATGAGGTGTAGGTGGGTAAAGCAAAGCACAAAAGCTTGTCAGATCTGATAAGCCTCCACTGTGGTGTAAAGAGCATCAGAAGGATGTAGCCTGGATATCCAGATCAAACTGATCCACTTCTCTTTATCTTTCTCAAGTATTGAAACAGGTTTTTTGTTAGTGTGTTCTTTTAACAGTTTTGTTCAGAACAATCAGAAGACTAAACAACAAACACTGTATTGGGTAGAACCTCTCAGAACTATTTTACTGATGGTATTAATATTGATAACTAATTTGTGGAAAACACCAATGTAGTGTGAAAGAAATTTGTAGGTTTTAAAATAGGTAGAATATGCAATCTTTTAAATCTCAGATTGACTTGCCTGAACTGACTGTCGTATATTATACATAACTGAATTGCTTTTACTATGCCAGCAATACATATTCCTACAACACCTTTTCTTCTTGACCAGTCACTGAATGAAAAACTCAATTCACTTTGGCATTCAGAGCTCCCTTAATACTTCTGCAGTGAAAGAGTTATATTTTTTTTCTGTTTCATGAAACTGAAAGCCACGAGGCTATGTTCCCCATAGACTTGCTCTGACAGTTGTACTGAAATCCATCAAAGGCCACCCATCATAGAAGTGCACAAAGTACCATGTTATTGATGCAATCTGTCCATCTGCCAGTCATGCTAATGAACATCTGCAATAGTACCATTGGGAATACTTCAGGAACAGGACAAGTTTGAAAAAATGAAATACACTTCATGGTAGTTTTTGGAAGAACTCATTTCAGCTTACATCAGTAATATCATACTTTGCCTCAAATGAAGTGCACTTGTGAAAATTCATTTAGATTATGTTTTTGTTTGTTTATTTGTTTGTTTGTTTTCCAGTGTAGAAAGGTTTGATGGAAACCTGTGTGATTCTGTGATTCTGTGATTCTGTGAAAATTTTGTGTCTGTATTCCTGAGTTTTATACTACCATATAAATATCTTCTCAGCAAACATTACTTAAAATTACTAGAAAACAGTAATAAAATATTCTCATCTATACATAATAACAGATGGAAAAGGCTTGTCTAATTTACTGACTCACACAGATAAATCACCCAAACCTTTTAAGAATTTGGGCACCAAAACTTTAGAAATGAATTTTATTGGCAAAAGTGAAATTAAAAACTCTGAGAAAGGATATTTATGGAAAATTATGAAAAACAAAAAAGCAAGCAAACAAACAAACAAAAAACCACAAACAAACAACAACAACAACAACAACAAAAAAACGGCATGTAGACTGTTGTGTCCTTGAACCTGAAGCAATGACAACTTGGATAAAAATAAAAAAATAAACAAACCATGATACTAAAGGTTAGTCCAACTTTCTCCTAATCTGGGTTACCCTTCTGATACCTCCAACCTCAAAGCCCACATCCTAAATCACCTTTTCTAAAGGTGATTAATCTCCCTTATAATTTCCATGTCATGAAGCATATTAGTTGTCCAACAGCATTAACAGAGGGATGTGTTTGGATCAAAACCTCCTATCACATGATATTTCTAATTATCCCATTGTCAAAAGCTAATCTTCAGTGTTTTGCCCTTCAGAAGTGCTTATGACTTATCTGGTAACTGACAAAATGCAGTGGAACTGCATTATAATGCTACTCTCTTTTTTTCAGAGTTCTGCTAATAAACCATGTCCACTGGAAAAATAACAGGGAATGTATGCACCCCAGATGCAGGTACACCTCAGATGACCAAGCAGAACCACAGAGCATGGCATTGCACTGCTTATTGGTGGGATAGAGCCTGAGTGCTGTCTCAGCATTGGTATTTCCACAGAGGAATGAATCACATAAATCACAATTACTGATTTAAGCCAGTGCCATTTAAGGCTCTCTGTATTGTTCCTTGGTATGACTGCCGAAGATCACAGATAGGAAAACTTGGTATCACTGTCAAACTCAATAATTTTTCATGTTTGTTTAAAATCAGCAAATGTGACTACCCAGAGCTTGGATATAAGGGGACAATTCCCCCTGAATTTGCTCTCCTTTCCTTGAGTGAATGAATAAATGAGTGAGTGGGTGTGTGTTCCTACCATTCTCTGCTTTCTCTTTTTGTGGTCTTGACTGAATTTGAGCACAAAAAATGAAAACTAATGGCTACCTGTGATGGGCTGAAGCAATGCTCCAAACAGACTGTTTTTCAGGTATTGTCCAACAGACTGTTTTCCAGAGTATTGTCTAGGCATGATTCTTCATTTTCTACTGTTTGAAAAGCTGTCATGTCATGTCCTGAAGAAATCTGCAGAAGAAATGCTGGTCTGGCTCCCACATGAAGATTTGGCTAGGCTCCCAAGTGTGAGACTAAAGGTCAGTGGTTCACTCCTGTGGAGTCCCAGTCCTGTTCAGCATTCATTTTCCTTTTCTTTCCAGTTCCCTAATCTGATAAATCATGTGGGGAGAGGGAGGGGGAGGAGTATGTGATGTAACCTCGTCTCCTGCAAAGTTACGAAACTGCCTTCAGCAACAACACCTTGTCTGCATCTCGCGGTGATTTTACAGTGGGTACTCGTGGGGGATGCTGTGTTGTACTTAAAAGGCATGAAGATCAGCCACATCTGTGGGAGACCCACCAGACAGACTACTTACTCACTTCGTTTGTTCAGAGGAAAGCTGGGCATGATGTCTGCTTAACGGCACACGCTCTTGCAGCTTCTTGTTTTGCTGTCTGCTGCATGTACCCAGAGTGACAGGAAAACTGGTGATATGCTGGGGACACCCTGAAGAAAGGGAGACTTAAGCCATCTGAACTGGTGGGGTAAGTCTGTTCTTCCTTCACAGTTTTTTTCTTTCACTCATTTCTTTCATGAGGCATAAAGTCTATGGTTTGGGGGAAGCAAAAGAAGTGGAGTGGAGTGATCTGGAATGTGTAAGGAATTTCCAAGGGCATGTAGCCATATGAAATCCCTGCTGGATTGACTCTGAGCCAGTTGATAATCACTAACTAATCTCTCTGCTGTCAGGTTCTGCCCAGATTACAAGGGTGTGTGCCTCTGTGCCAGGATGCATACAAGATTCGCTCACTCTCAGAGCCTATGTCAGAGAAGCAGAACAAAGTGTTTTGACTGCAGTGGTTGACTGCAGAAGAGAAATATGTGTAGCTATGCTTATATCAGCATAATGGTGCTGTGTTTGCTGATGCATGTCAGGCTGTGAGGTCTGCAGATGGGGAGGCGTAGGTAAAGGTACGTTTTGTTGTGTTTCACCAGAGTAAATCCATGTACAATTGGGATATAGTCAGGCATGTTAGTTTAATTTTTTTTTTTTTGTACATAGGTACAGCTGGTAAATAGTGCACTCTATGCATTTGTAGTTCGAGCAGAACTGTGTGGTCTGGGTATTAGGAAAATGTTTATACTCATAAAGCCCCTTAAAAACGTATTTATACTAGTATAAGAGGTCTTATATTACGCCACAGTTTTTCCTGCCATGTAATGTACAAGCTACTGTTCTTGCAGCAGGAACCTCAGTGGGCACAGGAGAGGAGACAGTTCCAAAGGTGGTATGGGTATTCTTAGACTCAGCAATCTATGAGAAGTCAAAGCAGAAAATGTGTTTTTCTCAGTACCAGGAGGAGATGAATCTGGGAAGAAGATGTCCTTATATATTTTCTAATGAAACAAAACTACAACAGATAACAAAGGCTGTTGGAAATCACTGCAATAAAGTGTTTTCTAGGTGAACTTTGGCACTTCTGAATACCATTGAAAAGATCTCCCTACTAAAGGAAAACAGGGAACAGAAGAAACAACATTTTATATATGAGTATTATACTTTATAATAATATACTATATTATAGTATAACTAGATAAAGCAAAAACAAACAAACAAACCCACACAATTTATACTGTTCCTCAGAAAGCTAAATAACCAACATAGCTTAGTCAACATCTCTAGAGTTGCAAGAGTGATAAATTAGTCCTAAACTGCATGTTAGCATGCAATCTCCATGAAAGCCTCTGAAAGAATTCAATTTTGACACCTGGTCTATGTCCTAGTGCACATGTTGTGCCTCCACTGCTTTTTCTGTTGTGCCTAACATAATCACATGGTAGACAGAGCTCTTTATATTTTGAATACAGATAGTCAAGGTGTTTTTTGCTGGTGAAACATCAACAAGGCAGTGAAATCTGGACATACAGAAGGTAAACAAATAGCTAAACATTACAAGAGGATTCTTCTCCTTCCTTCTTAAAATATGGTTCTGATCCTGGTCCAAAGTTACAGTTCCTAGAGAGAGCAAATTATTTTGTTTTTAATGGCTGGAGTCCTGAGCTTTGTCTAACGTGTCTCCTTTTTCAGGACTCAGACAAGGCTAGGATAAATGGGGCTGATATGATCCTGAGAATGCTCATTTTGATTTCTTTCCAGAACTTGTGATGGCTTCAACTTTGCAGAAAACTCAAGAATTCTACAACTGGATCCTTGAAAGTGGAGGTAGGTAGAGATGCTATCTTAAATAGAAATTTCCACATGAACAGCATGATCACAAAGAACAAACCTGTCAGTGTGATCCTCCTATGAGCCCACATTTTTTCACTTTTCTTTCATCATCATCCTGAACTTCCTTTAAGTCTTCAAATATATCTCAGGGACACTCCAGTTGTATGAGAGTAAGGATGATGGGGGATTTTCCTACATTGGGGAATTCCCAACAACTTTCTGTTCAACTTACAATGGGCTCTGACAGGATGGCAAGAAAGATGTGCTAAGGACTATATTATAAGTCTGGAATATTATAGATTTTTTAATTTATTTTTAATGCATGTGTTGTAAATCAAAGAGTTGATACTCTGAGATTTAAACTCCTTGTGATGCAAGTTCAAGTCAAACCAGTAATCAAGATACTGACAGAAAACACAGTTCAGTGTTTGAGGTTTTCCACTTTGTAGTTAGGAGACCTCAGGTCTTCAGTAGCTATAAATTCAGTTTGGCAAAACTCTATGAGAACTCCAAGGTTAAATGTCACAAGTTTGTATGCAGCTGCCGTGGCAGGCTTATGTGGTGGTTCTGGTAAGGGAAGGACATGGGACATAGACTGTTGGTCATAAATGTTTCAGAACTTGAATTTCAGAAGAGTTTGAATGGGAATTCAGGACTTCTGACAGACTGTTAAATCCAGAAGTGGAATATCAAAGAGCTCTTGACAAAGCCTTTAAATTACATAAAACAGGAATAGTAAAAAACTTGGAGGTCTAAAAGGAATGGAGATTAGCAAAGTGCTGTGGACAGGAATGTCATTTTTAAAAAATACCCTGGAGCTCATGGCATGTTGATTGAGCCAATGAATAAAATTCAGAAGAGGACTTCAGCAAGCATCCCCTATGAGAGGCCTTTAGGACTGGCAGGTCAAGAAGCAAAGGGAGATGATGAGGAAGTTTAGTAGAGCAGTGACCAACTCGGAAATAGAAGAGGAACGCATGGATGAGAACAACAGCATTTTTGCCTCCTGCATTTCTGTGGGTCAGGGATGAGGCAGGATTAGGAGGAGGAAGAGTGACAGAAAATCTGTTAAGTTTTTTTTTCATGAAGAACTGAAGAGCAACTTTAGCACAGGGAAGAGTTTTGTGACTTTGCAGAAAAAAAGCTGTGCTTTTAAGAGGGTCCACCCTATAAGTAGATATAAAAATAAGGGGGTGGAGAATTTCAGATGTCCTGAACATTGTGTGTCATGAAGGAAATAACATTAGTGATGGAAACAATCTATTATTTAGCTGTAAAATTTTATGCTCTTGAAGATTCAGGAACTCTTTGGTTTGTTTTGTGCATCTCTGATGCAGGTGTCTCAAGCTACTTTTTCTTCCAGTGTGTGGGACAGTGTTGCAGCCAGGGGTGAGGAGTCCAGCTCCTGACAGGAAAGACCTGTTCCCTACTGTGCCACAGGAGGTTGGTGCTCAGCAAAGCAGTCCTATGGGCGCTACAGCCCTAATCCTAATGTAGTGCTAAAGCTGTTTAGTAGTCTGTCACATGGAGCCTCGGGGTTTTCTGCCTTTGAGCGTGCCACAGAGAGCAGGATGAAAGGAAATAATTAAATATATCTGCTACACAATGTGGAAGATGAGCAAATTTGACTGTGTGTTTTGCTTTTCAGATCCAAGGACAGACCCATGGCCTCTGGTCCACTCTCCACTGCCAGTTACACTCCTTTTTGCCTTCTACCTCCTTGTTGTGGCACTGGGGCCCTTCTACATGCGTAACCAGAAACCGCTGAAGCTGCGAGGTCTGCTGGTCGCCTACAATCTATCCATGATGATGCTATCAAGTTACATGTTTTATGAGGTGAGGAGACAGGATTGCTCCCTTCTGGATAAGAATCTGGGAACTGTTTGAAAGCCAGAAACATTTTAACAGCTTTTGATGGTGGACTCTAACGAATGGAGTGGGTGCTGATTTGGACATGTCTACATTTTGCCACAAGAGGGGCAATACTGCCCTGTTGAAAGGGATGAAATATTTCCGAAGTATACCTTATTTCCTACCATTTTTGAATCTTCCTCTCATTAATAAAATTCATGTTGAAATAATCCTGAATGAACAAGTTAAAAATTGATATATCCTACAGTGTATGGAGGATGTGTGACACTTTTTCTCATGCCTGGCTGGTGAGGGACCCACCTCTAGGAGAACTGCTTTTTCAGACTTGTACAATCTTCTCCAGGACTGCCAAGCACACTATAGCTTCCTGCTGTCAAGAGTACTGATGACATTGTTTTCTTCTTCTCAATGTCCAAACCTTTCTACAAGTTAACATGCCACTGAAAACTCTTCAAGATAGTACTGCTGAATTGTTTTGAAAAACTTTTTAGTATCAACAAATTTGACCTTTCAATTTATGATATAATTCTTACTGGTTGTCTGTGCTTGGTTGTTTGGTTGCACTGGTACAATTAATATAGTTCTTGGTTTTCCAATTAATAGGCAAATGCAAACAGCCAAAACAAAATAGTACAAAGTCTTTGCAAATGAGAACACAGAGAGATTCTTGCAGAGAGATTCTGAAGCCTAGAATTCATTATTCCTGCTAAATTTTTTGAGCACTCTCATTGTTACATAAAGAGTTACAAATATGCACAGAACAAATTTTCTTTTTCATATTCCAACACAGATGTGAAGTATTTTGTTTTAGGTTTTTACTATTTGTTCAGCTATATAAATTACGTTGATCTTCTATCAGTGAATACTAAATAAAGATCCTATGACTTTTAGCGTTAATACTTGCATCTTTTTGGAACAGATGGTGTTGAACATAAAATAGATCTCATTGCTTTTCTTTTGTTTCAGTTTCTGATAACTTCAGTCTTGGATGACTACAGCTACCTGTGCCAGCCGGTGGATTATAGCCAAAGTGAACTAGGAATGAGGGTATACTTTTATAAAAAACTTGCCTTAGTCCCTGTTCCTCCTGTTGGTATGCAGATTATTTGCCTGGTAAACAGCAGTTGTCATCCCTAAGAACTTAGCCAACAGTTACACTTTGCTTCAGTTCTCAACAAATTAATCATCTCAGCTAATATAGCCATCTAAGTTCTGCCTTTGATCACTGCAGTGAAGGTGTTCCTACCACCTGAAAGGTAGACATCTTGTATAGCTATTGTAAATTACATCTGAAAAATATGTCTCTTTCCATTGATTATGTAAGGATTCTGAGTGATCACTGCCAACTAGGAAAACAATTTTCATATACCAAAATTTCCATGGCACAAATCTTACTCAAAATTTCTTTTAGGTGGAGGATTTGACTAAAAAATTCCTTGTCTGCCTATCACAGGGGGATTTCGGTCCCACCAACTTCAGCTTTCCAAAATGCTGATTGAGTTTCTTCTGTCTGACTATAGAGGTATTGTTTTTCTTCTGAATGCTAACAGGTTTTGAACACATCTAAGCATGGATATCAGCTTTCCAGTTTTTCAAATATTTGCCATCATGCTGGAAATGTTTTCAGGGCAGCACACCCTTGCCTTATCAAAGAGCAAGGAATTTAGTAAACACTCATCTATACTGCTAAAGAAACCTGGAATGCTTTTCCTGCAGATCAACAGTCCTTCCTGAGCTCCCAACCTGAAAAAAACAACTAAACAACTGTCATTAAAAAGAAAAAAACAAACAAACAAACAAAAAACACCACAACAAACAACAACAACAAAACACTTAGCTTTTCTCCTTTGCTGTCCATCCCAGGTTGGCAGTGTTCACACACTTCATAGTTAAAAGTCTCAGGCAGTAAGACTGGGCAGTCATTTTGCGTTGAGGTCTAACAGCGTTTCCTTGTGATGCCCGGCAGATGGCAAGAGTGTGTTGGTGGTTCTTCTTCTCCAAAGTCATCGAACTGCTTGATACGGTAAGGAAAGCTTGGCTCGGCTCCGCAGCAGAACTGGCGCTGTAAACAAATTGCTTCCTTGTCAGAATGGGGCAGAGTGCCATAAGCTAATGTCCTTGGTTGATCCTGTATTGATTCAGTTGGTGCTTTTTAGTAAATGCTGTTTTTCATGCGTTCTGTTCTGCCTGCTAATGTGAGTAAGGCTGATACTGTTAAAGGAGAGGGTGCAGCTTCAGTGTGCTGGTTTATGACAGCATTTTGTATGCAAGCGCCCAGCAATGCCACAGGATATCATGCTGATAGTTTTCCTCAAAAACCTCTTTCCAGAAGAAAAGAATCATTCCTGTGCGTTTTGCCCATCTCTGTTCCAGTGGTTGCACACTTTCCACTCTCCAGCACTCTCCCTGTGGGATGACATTCCCTCCTGACCACAGTGCTGGGGAGAAGCTCTAAGAATGGCTATTAACAGATGGTCTCCCAAAATCTTAGCTACCAGTTGATTAAGGCTGCTGGAGTATTTGCTGCCAGACAGAACATGCCACTGGCCATTTGGCTGAATAACAGTGGTTAGCTGGGCAGGAAAGAAACTGCACACATACAAGTATGCGTTCTGCTTATCTGACACATTGTTCTAGAGCTGTGGGTTAAAGGTTTGTGCCCCATGTAAAACTGAAAGTTCACCTGAAGACAGTACTATTTTATAGCTTGTCTGTCGGGTGTTCTCCTATATAATAAAGAGTTGACTGAACTAACAAGGGAATCATATCTCTCTGATAGGTCAGCAGGAGTAAACTGTATCCTGACCAAAGACTTCGCAGTCTAGTGCTCTTTGTGAGAAAAATTGATAACACACTGTCTGAAAAGTGAATCAGCACATGGAGCCCTCCTAGGCTTCTTGCCAGTGAGTTCACCAATCCTCTCTCTGCTTTCATCAGCAAGAAAAACAGCTTTTTGTCAGTCCTGGGTCCCTGAAAAGCAGATTCACATTTTGATAGTGTGTGTGCGCGCAGAAGTACAGTGACATGACACATATTCATATATGAAAATCATTCTCTTTACTAATGCAAATTCCAGAGGATTTGGACATTCATCACAGCACTGTAGGTCATTCTCTGGTACCAGTAAGAATCTAATCTTTGTCCTGAAAAGGATCAGACCAAAGCAGCTGTAAATTATATGGAAGCTCAGTCAGAGATTCGGATGAGTCCTCTTTGGACCTTAGGACCTGAATCCAAAGGTAAAAATAGTTGGGACTCAGTGGAAGAAACGGTATCCTTCAGTTTCTCTTCATTACAGATAATATGGGATGTAATGCATGTTTTGAATTTCACCCGTTTCTATCAAGAGCAGAAGAAATGAGTTTTGGAAGATTTAGAATCATTATTCACTGCTGTTATCACTATCACTTTTAGCATAAAATCTTCTATCAAAACATACCAAATCAAGATTTTCCTTTGGCTTCTTTCAGGTTTTCATTATTCTGCGCAAGAAACAAGAACAGGTGACTTTTCTGCATGTGTATCATCATGGCACTATGCTGTTCAATTGGTGGTCAGGGGTGAAATACGTGCCTGGAGGACAAGGTAAGTGGACACCTTGTGTTTTAATTTTCTTGTGGAGATAGCATAAACAGTGCAGATGGGCTGACTGGTAGGTAGGAAGCTCACTTATTTCCAAAGGTGTGAAAAACATGTGCATTTCAGTTGGTAACATCTGCTCAGCTCTTTGGGCTATTTAGACTGCTATATTAACTGCCTCTTCCAGTAGAAGAATGTGCCAGTCATTCCCTGTCCACGCAGAAACGGTATTATCCTATACTAGGCCTATTTATATCTCCATCTAGACCAGCGCTCTCCATTCAGCTGGGCCTGATGCAGTGGTTAAGGTTCTGTCTCTGTTTCCTGTTCTGACTGTACCCAGTTCTCCCTCACTTCTTTTCTGGTCTGTATTCAGACTGCTTTCTTTTACCAGTATAGGTGGGCTCTACACAAGAAGCTAGGGTAAACTCTCTGGGGGGAGTCATTTTGACTACATGGCCTTGACACGTGAATGGTATGAAATGCCTGGGTCAGAAGATCAAGTACCTCTGTCTTTGAGGCACTTCTCTGTCCCAGAATACTAGATATAGGATGGAAATATGTTGAAAGGTACAGGGAGAATATGAAATACATCCTAGGTAGAATCTCGATTGAAAGTTCACACACATGGGTAGTATTTTGAAAGCACCATCACAGTGGATGTGAGCTCACCAAAAGGTTAGTTTTGAATGGTTCATATGCCTTGTTCATACTGACTTCTTTATTCCTCAGCTTTCTTTATTGGGATGCTAAACTCCTTTGTACACATCTTCATGTACGGCTATTATGCCCTGGCCAGCCTGGGACCACAGATGCACTGTTACCTGTGGTGGAAACGTTACCTAACCATCATGCAGCTGGTAATTAATTCATGTGTTTATCTCTACATTTCCATGTCTTGGGTGTGAAGGCACCTTCTGTCTGTTTCTGTTCCTTCACTGGCACAGGTCTTTGTGCTTGCTGTTTATGGAAACCACCATGTCCTTAGGTTTCCTAATGTATCAGTAATAGAGGTGAATTGGATGATTACCGGCTCTAAATGGTACTCTCAGGAAACTACCAAGAGGCCTTCAGTGACTGCATTAGCTTCCAACACTTATCCCTCTTCTGCTTTATGTGGCAACCTTTTCACCCTGCGGAACCCGAAAAACAGCTTGATCTTGAGAGGTGTGTGGCAGTTAATTTTGAAAGCTTTGGATTTTCAGGAGGGCAGGAGATTGGGCAGCCTTCACTGAATTTCTTCAGAAGGGAAGAGTATATATAACTGCAGACAAACAGAGGGGAGTTAAAGAAAAATGTGTGAGTTTCACTTGCTGTGTAGATAGGCCCTTTGAATTTTCTCTTCCTCATCTCTGAAGAGGTGACAAATTTGTACAACCCTTTGTTTTTTTCAAAGATACAGAATAAAAGCCATGTTACAGACAAGGACAATGGTTGTAGTTAAAGCATGTGGGAGAGCTAATGCCACATAAAGAGAGGTTATGGAAACAAAAAGTATTCAGTTGCCAAAAAGAGAAGGAAAAGCTAGGGTAAATGTAAAATAGTGTTGGTTAGATGGCTGGTCCGGAATTCTTATTTATCCTTAATGGCAAAAGCAGAACAAGAAAATTTTGTAAGAAATTAAGATACTTGTGATGCAAAAAGCAGGAAATCAGCTTTCATTTAATATACATTCAGTAGGTAGAACTCATTGCATCAGAGTATTAAGTGATGTGGTAGAATACAAAGGAAAAAGGATTCATGTCAAAATGGATAAAAGTAACATCTGTACCACCTCTCTCTAAGTTAAAATAGCAATCAAAACCATTAACAGTATAATAATCTGATTACCAATAGGGAAGACATGGATTCTCCCACCGTTAGTTTCCATATTCCAAAATAACTGTTACCAGTTTGCGACAGAAAAGTGACACAAAGGCAATGGTGTTCTCCTAGGAGGGAGAGGCTGGATTTCAAATGTGCTCCTTGCAGCAGTGCATAAGACTCAATGTTTGGTGGACACGTTGTGTTCCTTTTTAAATTGGGGAAAACACTGCTGGACTTGAAAAGCAAGTTTTTCAGGGATGTCAGGAGAAACAAGCCAGTATTACTCTGGGTTGAGAATGCTATGAGTATGTAGTATGTTGTGATATTCTTTATGATGAATTAAACATTCAGTTGGGATATGTAGGATCCCTAATCTGTCTGCTTCTTTTTTCCACCTTTTCCAGTGCCAGTTTGTGGCCATCGCTGTTCATTCTTCCTACAACCTCTTCACAGAATGCCCGTTCCCTGATGGTTTCAACATTGCAGTCTTCCTTTACATTCTCAGCCTCATTGCTCTCTTCCTACACTACTACTATTGGACGTACACTAGGGGAAAGAAGAAGAAGCTAACTTAAAGAAAACCAAAGAGGAGAGTGAGCCTATTTGCAAATTCTCTGCTGCTTCTGTCATGATTGCATGAAGGAAAACGTATCTGGGGAGTGTATGTGAGGCTCGTGTGTGCAAACCCTTGGTTGCCTTCAAATATTTTGAGTTAGGAAGAGAAAAAGAACAACATAAACTCAAGAGTTAAGATATTAATGGGCACACTTACTTGAAGCTGGTACAAAGCCAAGCCACGTAGTCATCAATACAGAAGTCTTTGTGAAATTAGCACCAGAAGAGCTCCACTTTCCGTTCCATCTGTCAGCATGGTTTGCAAAGTCTATCATTCAACTATGAGTCCTTGACTCATTTCTGTAGAGTTTCTTTCCATTCATAAGACCATCTCAGCTTACCGTTGTAGACCAGGCAGGCTCAGGTACCTCCAGCCTCAAAGCAGTGTCCATGTGACAGCAGCAGCCAGGAATTACTGTAACTGTGGGATGCACTCACCTGTACACTTCACCCCAGCCTTTCCTATTGAGGAAACTTCCAGTAGGACTGGGATGAATTACAGCTATATGGCCCTTATGGTTTCACTTTATGTTAGAGTAACCGTGAAGGAAACTGGATATTACTTTGCCCAACTGAACAGCTGCCTCTGTTCTTTCACTATTCTGAAGCTAAAGACGGCATTATTGTCTCTAATATGTCACACAAGCCTTTCCATCCTGACTAGGAAACTAATGTAGTAAGAATCATAATGTAACACTTTCTGGAATGCTGGAATTCTTATTTGCCTTTTGTTGCTTTCATATCAATAGAGAAGTTTTCATGCATGAGGACTATTTGGTATTGCTTGCTATAGATGCCATATTTTTGGTTAGGAAGAATAAATTAAGGCTCTCCATTGATAACTTTTTTCTCCCATTTGTTATTACTATTATTATTTCAAACTTTTGCCTCTTATCAAAGATGAAAAGTTTTCCACCACCTTAAGCAATATCTTTCATACCAAACTGTATGAGCATTAATACAAAATTTATGAAGTCAATTCACTGGCTAGTGCAAAACTACATAGCTCCGGTGAATTTGTTGATTCACTTGTTGGTTCCTTTTTTGCTCCTAAATCAATTAGAACTAGAGTTTGGCACTTCCGTTCATCCATAGACAGTTAAGTAATGTTAAAAATTTGGTCTTGAAAATCTAAAATTCAGATTTTAAACTATGTAGTTGTATTTATTTATTCCGTTCTACCTTTTTAATTAAAAATAGTGATTTAAAAGTAGTGATTTTTTTTTTTCACAGTTGAAATGCAAAGTTCTTAAAAGCCAAATTCACATTAAATTTAAACAGTCTATATTTTATGGGAAAGTCCAGGAGAGTAATCTACTGTCTAAATGAGTGCATATGAAAAAAAAAAAATGCACATCTTACATCAATTTGGAACTTACTAGATATCCAAAATAAACGCTACTTGTTCATCACTGATTTGTGTGCATATGCCAAACTTTTCCCTCAGCTGCTACATTCACATTTATAAGATAAATTAGTATTCTTCCATTCCTTCTTCACACACAATGATTCTATGATACTACCACAGTGATACATTATAAATGTAATTCCATTGATTTGAGTATTCTGATTTTCATTGGTGAATATGAAAAGCAAATCAGGCCTTATTTCAATCTGTGTTAGCTGTTCTTCCTGCCAAATATTTCTCTCTGCTACTTGTTATATGAATTATGCTGCTTTTCCATAATATAATGCAACTGTTGTTAGAGCTTTAAATGATAAACCTCTGGGTGAGTCCTTGGTTCTCTTTGTTTGGTGAAGCAGGAAAAATAAATCTTCTGTGTATCTAGCACACTGTATTCACAGTCAAGGTTTCCCAAGGGGCCTCTCCAGCACTTACATATATATATATATATAACTTTTTATTGTTGTTTTAAGCAGTGCATGGAGATTAATTTGTGTATGACAGAGATTACTGCAATGGATTCTAGACTGTGACTGGCAGCATAGTTAATGACAAAATGCAAAGGAATGAGTTTGCCACCTGCTATCTTGTTATAAGTGACCAAGTACCTAACACACATCACTGTAACTGTTTGTCCTAGACAAGTAACCTCTGATCTATCTATACCTGTCCTTCCTCCTTACCCTGGTTGAGCGGCCTGATCTTGCACTTCTGAACTGGTAGAAACATTTTGTCAACGTGACTTCAGTGGGCATAGGATGAAAATTAAGTTATTTTCATTTAGGTGATAAGGAAGGATTAAGTTTGCCCAGAAACATCCTGCTTTGCATACTTAAATAGATGTTTATGTAGAGCACAACAATTGCAAAAGCATCAACACAAAATTCACTTGTGAGACTACTTGCTTTAACAGGGAAGATAAAGTTGCATAGGTGTAACCTTCTGCCTCTTCAGGTCATGATTCTTTCCTCTTTTAGACTGCATTCCTTTGTCTTCATTCTTCTATTTTAAATTGGGATATCCGAGTTGGTACTGTCCACTTCCTGTTGTGACAAAAGCAAAAAGCTGAGAGTACAGGTACACACTTCTGGAATTTAAAAGAGAATAAAGGCAAAGAATGAGATTTCCCCTCTAAGCTAAGTCCCTAGAGTTAAAAGATTACATCACAGTAATGCACTGTAAGTCACAAGGGCTGGAAATTACAAATTGCAAGTTTGGATGATTCATACTGTCTGGCAGAGTCCAACACTTTGAGACTGAATTGAAGATATCCTGTTGCAGCTGGATTTATGCAAACGTTTGGGCCAAATGCTGATCCCACCAATATCAATGACAAAGCCTGCAGACTTCGCTGGAAACAAGATGGCACAGCTGTGTGAAAAACAATGCACTCAGCTACATGGTGTCGTTTTGGTGTGAGCAGACTCAAGTGCTATTCAAGCTCAATGGATGACTTCCAAGGGCACAGTTGTGTGCAGGCGTATCCCTTGTAAAATGTGGGTCATTATACCTCCTTGGAGTAGTTTGCACTCACAAAATTAAAGCATAATGTAAGTAGTCTGTTTAAATGAATAAGCCTGATAGCTGGTAGTGTTCAACATCTTTTCTACTGTTCAAGTCAATGTAAATTATGGATGTTTTGATGAAATTACTTTCAAATTAACCTGATCACTTACTCAGTGCTTACTTTCTCTTGGAAGATAAATGAGAGGGATTCTAATTTTAATCAAAACAAAATACACACACAAAAAAATTAATTGCTATTTATTTTTTTTCCATTAGTGTGTGATGGAATGTTTCCAGAATTTATGTTTAAAATTGCATAACAATATAAAAGTCTGGAACATGATTGGGTTTTAACTATTGGAGTATTTCTGGATGCTATCAGAAAATAAGTCAGTATATATTAAAAAAAAAGAAAAGAAAGAAAAAGCAGAATTACTCTAAACAATCAATTAAGCAAAAGCAGGATGCCTCAGATTGCTTTGTACAATAAATAAACATCTGTTGATGCAGATACAAGACATCTCCACGCTAAGTATTTAAAAAATAAATAAATAAATTAGCTGATACTATATATAGAAGAGGGTGAATTTGTTGAATTCATTAATGAATAACTTCATGGATTAGGCCTTGATAAATGAAGTGCTCGCATCCAGATGTTTAGTGTGATTTGTCAATGGCCTTGTATTTAATCCTCCTGAACAGGAAATAAGTCTTTTCTCTGGGGTCTCCCTTGGGGACTGTGGCAGTCTCTCTGTCATACACTCTCTCTCTGGCCTGAATCATCACAACAGAGGATCAGGCTGCTGGGGAATTAACCAATTGGAGGAGGATCAGATTTGCCTTTAACCCTTTGATTTCTTCTCAGCTTTGGATGGCCTTCTCACCATATGACGTGATGGTAATGTTATTTGGTCAATACATGGAGATAAAAAAGTGGAGTTCCCATGTTGTCCCACAAGGTGTATTTGTGGGATCCCTGTCCCCACAAAATGTGTTGAAGCTCACACGCCTGGTTCCACCACCACTGAAGGCTGGGGCTGTGGGCAGATCAAGCCTGTGGAGGCTGGTGGATGTGTATCCACATCTCAGAACTGTATATTAATTTTTGGGATGCTGCTGCTCCACAGCTGCTGTCAGTGATAGAGTTGGCCCAGGAGTGCTTGTGAAAGGGAAGGGTATCTCCAAGGTGCCTCCAGCCAAGTATGCCAGAACATGCATAGCACATGTGTGTCTGCGTATGGGTAGATTAATGCAGCATCTGCAGACTGCCTCCATTTCTGATCTCTCTACATATGAAACCCCCACATAGGGCAGGTCATTCATTTCTCAGGAAGGCACCATCCTGCAGTGTGGGAGCATCCTACTGAACGACAGCTCCCAGAAGCTACTCCTGCTGCGTAATAGCATGGGTGCTACTCATCAGCCCATGACAGCTTGGGTCAGCCAGCTGCATCTATCTCAGTACCTCATAGGAGGGAAAGGCCAGAGCTAGTATGAATACACATCATATGCAGGCCACACTGATGAGGTAAAGAAATTACAGACATCTCATGTGTGGTGCACATGATTAAACAGATCAGAGCATAGTTATGTGTAATTCAGGTCCCTTGCAGGATGCTGTGCAAGGCAAAATGATAAGGTCCTTCTTTTATCCCCATGGAGACCTTGGTAAGGGGGCGCTGGGAATCTCACCTTTAGGGAGAAGATGGAAAATCTCTATTTTGGACAGAGTTTCTTCTGCAAAGCTTGTGTGTGCCTCTCATAGGAACTAGTTGGTAAAGCAGGGAATCTTGGAAGAGTCACACACTAGATGGGAGAGGCGAAGCAACACTAGCATCACCTAATTTAGAGGGGATGACAACAGGCATCATGACTGGATTAGGATAACTGAGTGGCAGTGGGAACTTCATGGAATGGTAAATTTGGTTGTGGATGTGCTGGAATGTATGGGACTGACTGCACATGTGCATGTGTTTAGGGTAAAAAAAAAAAAGTTTTTTTTTGTTAACTCACCAGTAGAGAGAGAACTAAATTCTTTGTCAGAGAATACCTGGTTATAACATCAGTAGCACAGCACTTGATATGTCCCACTAGTCTTGTGTCATATTTTCTCTCAATATTTTTGCTTTTTGCTGTTTGGGCTGTTCTTCAAGAAAGTGTTTGTAGTCATTTCATCACAGTGAGAAAATTAGGAATGCTTATTTAGCATTGCCCTTTGAAATTTGCTGATTGAAGTAGATGTTTCTTCCCCTTTAACATTATCCTCCCACTTTCTCTTCACCCTTTCCTCCCCTCTTCCCTTGTACCCACATATACAGACAGCATCCTAAATTGTCAGAATTGTTAGAGCTGCGAAGAATGTAAATATATTCTACTTAAGCTAAACAGAGTAGCTGTGTTTTCCTGCTATATCAATTAATAATGTACATTTTCTTCATCAGGTTTTCAGTAAGGCTTTCAGTAAGATGAAAGTGAGCAAGTCTGTCTTTTTCTTAGCACTTCAGTATAATCCCATCTGCTTGCAAACTCAGGATGTGAACACTGCAACGCAATGTTGAAAAGGGCTGGAAACTTGGTCTTTAAACAGGGTAGCATAATTCAGCGTAATCTCTCCCAGGCATCGTTGAAGTGCAGCTCCCTCTTGTTGATGAAGGAATGGGAGAATGGATACATCAGTCTGAGAAGCGGCAAGAAGCAGCCCTTTTTTTCTGCCCACAGAGTCATCCCTCCTGGGCTGAATCCCCCAAAAGGCTGTCTGCCATAACACTGAAGATACTGAGTAGGGAAATTTTTGAAAGTATCTCTCGGAGTGGGAGGTGAAATGTAGGAACAGGACTGAGAATGGATGTGGGTTTCTCTGAGGGATGCTTGAAAGCGTGAGAAAGGGTTAGCATGCATATGTCCCTCTAGGTGGTTGGTTTGGTTGTGGGAACCTGCAGACACTGGTCTCATGCAATGACAGGTCATGTAAACTGAAGGTGATTGCACGGAAAGGCTAAATATTACCCTTGTGGGGTGAGTTCCCTGAAAGGGGGGTTTGCAGATGGAGAAAGGGCAGGTATTTATGTTTGAACACATGCAGGAACAGCACACTGAATGAAAAACCTATAGAGTTGAGGGAACAAACACAGGTGCTGTCAAGTCATCTGGTTTTTGTTGTGTTACTGATAATATTATTGTGCAGATGAAAGCACAGCCTGTGCATCTGTGGATACCTATGATTTGGCCCCATGATGGAGACATATTCATTAAGAAGAATCCAAAGGTGTTTGCTGTGATGGCCAGGCACTGCAGCTCCTGGAGTGCAATTTATTAATTCCAATTGGCATTGCCTCTGGGAGATCTATGTGAACCTGTCTAGGGATGTTTCCTCTTTAAATAAAAGATTAGTCCCGAGGCAAGGTTTGGAGGGGAAATATCTTGTATTAGAGGAGCTGACATAGCTGGAAAAGCAAACTAGTTTCCAGCATGCAAGACCTTCCTTTGGTTATCATCCCTGATACGCAATGATAACAGGTCAGCTGTTATTTGTCAGGGTACACAGGTATGCCTGTATTTATTGCAGAGTTTTCCAGTTCCAAAGGCTATTGTAATACACTTTAGCAGTTTGATATATTCCTATAAATCAAAGGCCCATTATTTTCAAAGGGCTGCTCTAGAAAACATATCTGTAATTTTGCTTCTAGGAATTACTCATGTGAGTAAAGTGATCTTTTACTTCACCTGCACAATGGCATAATAGGACGGTGATTCTGTGCTCAGATCTCAGAGGTACATTACAGAACATGACCATGTCGTAGACAAATTATCATTTGCAATAATCATTCAAATTAATCCTGGTTTTCTATTTTGGTGTGTTTTCTAATATCTTTGGGCATATTTCATATACAGAGGTAATGGATTAAATTAAGTGAAAACCCATTAATCCCAGTGAATCTAAGTAAAGTGTTTGATTGTCTACGAGTACTACCACAAGGATTCAATAAAAATGTCTCTGCAGTGATACCACCTGAAAGGCAAAGTGTTTTTTCACTTAATATTTCCTACGCTTGGTATTGTCAGAAACCCAGAAACTCTAGAAGACTATATGTATACATTTTAATCCTACACTATTTGTGTACATATTGAGAATATTTTCCAGCAGACCTTGCATAGAATAGATAAACTCATGGTTTGAATAGAGAAAATAAGATCTTAGCATTGATTGTATTACTGAATTGTAATTGAAGTCGTCATATCATATAAAGCTGCTTCAATTCATTTTCTCTAATAAAATGTGCATCTATTGAAACGTATCAGCCTTGGATTTGGTTTTAAGGATGCATCACAGGGAAAGCATGGTCCCAGACTGCAATTACTAACATTGTTTTCCGCTGGCTTTAGAAACACCCTTTGGAGCTGCATGGTGAGGGCGAGGGGGAGGCTGGGGAGCAAAGCAAAGCAAAACAAAACATCCCCAATCCCTTTCTTTGTTCTCAGTGCGCTGGGGGAGCGGGCGGGGGGGGGGGGGGGCACACACTGGGAATCCCCGGGGCTCTCGGTTATGATTTTCCTGATAGGTGGAGCGGGGTCGGATAGCCGGAGCCCCCGCTGCACGCAGCCCCTTTGGCAAGTCATCCACGCGTGGGGGCCGCACGGTAAACCCAGCTGCAGGGTCGGGGGGCTGCGGGGGCTGCGGGGCGGGGCGGGTCCGGGACGCGGCAACCAGGAGGATGGAGGGGGATGCGCGGAGGAGAAGGGATCCTCGTTGACGTCAGGCGATCGCGGTGATCTCCCCTTCATATCCGGGTCCCCGGGCGGCTCCCCCGGGCCGCTCGGCGCTGCGAGGCGGGGGCCGCCCGGAGGTGGCCGGCGGCGACCGCAGCATGCCCGCCTCCCGCCGCCGCTGCCCATGGAGATCGCGCTGGTGACTCTGGAGAACGGCGGCGCCACGGCTATCGCGGGCGGCGAGGATGTCGCGACCGGCGGCAGCGGCGGCGGCGGCGGCAGCAGCGGGCGGGCTCGGCGACGGAGCGACCTGCTCCACATCGCGGGCTCCGCCGCCGCCGCGCCGCGACTGAGCGACGGCAAGGAGGGGGCACCGCCGGGCCCCCGCAGCGGCAGGGCAGGCAGCCTCAACGGGCGGGCGCCGCCGCCCCAGCCGCCCCAACCAGCGCCCCAACCGGCACCTCAACACGAAATGGGACCCCCCGAGGAAGGGGGCCACCGGCGGGGCATGGCCATGGCGGCGGCGGGTGAGGAGGAGGAGGAGGCGGCGACAGCGGCGAGCCGGGGCGCGCTGCACCATCAGCGGGTGCTGATCAACATCTCCGGGCTGCGCTTCGAGACCCAGCTCGGCACCCTCAACCAGTTCCCCGACACGCTGCTGGGAGACCCGGATAAGCGCATGCGGTACTTCGACCCACTCCGCAATGAGTACTTCTTTGACCGCAACCGGCCCAGCTTCGACGGAATCCTCTACTTCTACCAGTCCGGGGGCAAGCTCCGCCGGCCCGTCAATGTCTCCATCGATGTCTTTGCTGACGAGATCCGCTTCTACCAGCTGGGCGATGAGGCCATGGAGCGATTCCGGGAAGATGAGGGCTTCATCAAGGAGGAGGAGAAACCTCTGCCTCGCAACGAGTTCCAGCGCCAGGTCTGGCTCATCTTTGAGTACCCCGAGAGCTCCAGCTCAGCCCGGGCCATCGCCATCGTCTCCGTGCTGGTAATCCTCATCTCCATCATCACATTCTGCCTGGAGACCCTGCCCGAATTCAGAGATGAGAGGGAGATGCCTGTGCCCTTGCCCCCACAAAGCGGAGGTTTGAATGGCACTACTGGGGACCCGCTACCCATGCAGCCACCCAGCAGCCTCTCAGACCCCTTCTTCATCATTGAGACCACCTGCGTGATCTGGTTCACCTTTGAGCTTCTTGTACGCTTCTTTGCCTGCCCCAGCAAACCTGAGTTCTCCCGCAACATCATGAACATCATCGACATTGTAGCCATCATCCCCTACTTCATCACCCTGGGCACAGAGCTGGCCCATGAGCAGCAGCAGCCTGGGGCTAGCAGTAGCAATGGGGGTGGGGGCCAGCAGCAAGCCATGTCCTTGGCCATCCTCAGAGTCATCCGCCTGGTCAGGGTCTTCAGGATCTTCAAGCTCTCCAGGCATTCCAAGGGGCTGCAGATCTTGGGACAGACTTTGAAAGCCAGTATGAGAGAGCTTGGACTCCTCATTTTCTTCCTCTTCATTGGGGTGATCCTCTTCTCCAGTGCTGTCTATTTTGCTGAGGCTGATGACCCTGAGTCTCATTTCTCCAGCATACCCGATGCTTTCTGGTGGGCGGTGGTGACCATGACCACTGTTGGCTATGGGGATATGCGACCTGTCACCGTGGGGGGAAAGATTGTGGGCTCCTTGTGTGCCATTGCGGGTGTGCTCACCATTGCCCTGCCTGTCCCTGTCATTGTGTCCAATTTCAATTACTTCTACCACCGAGAGACTGATCATGAAGAGCAAGCTATCCTCAAAGAAGAGCACAGTAGTGCTCAAGGCAGCACAATGGGGGGAGATGCAAAGAGAAGATCCAGTAAAAACTCTCTGAACAAATCTGTTGTGCACTTGGAAAACAGTGAGGGGTTCAACAATGGCACCAGCTCTTTAGAGAAAACCAATATCAAAGCTAAAAGTAATGTAGATCTCAGAAAATCCCTCTATGCTCTCTGTCTGGACACCAACAGGGAAACAGATCTGTAAGGAAAGGAGAAAATTAGAGCTTAGAGATGCACAAAGATTTGCTGCTGTTGGAAACTTACTACTATTCCTATTATTTTCATACCAGTTAGTTTTTTTAATCAGGCTATATTTTATAAATTGATCACTGTCCTGAGCAGTCCTTCAGGAATACATGTTTTTATGTTCTTTTTCCATGACACAAAGGGTCACCTATTTTTAAAATAGACTAAGAATAAGCTATGCTCCATGATGCAGGAGCTGGTAAATTACGAAAGTGCAAAATCTAATTTGTAGAAACTTATTTTAGCAAATAGTGTTTGGTTTTAAATGGGTCATTGGTAAGCAATTCAGTTGCTCCGAGTTTAATATTCAAGATTTGGGGGTTGTGTGTGTGGAGAATGAATGGATTTTGGGGTGGGGGGAAGGATGAGGATTTTTTTGTACTGTAGTTTCAAACTGAAATTATTCTAATATATTTTATATCTGTATATCTGTATTTATGGGTGAAAAGGGTTTTCTTATTCCTGTGAAATATGACTTCATTAAAGCACTAGGGACATTAGCAGATCAGCACTTTCAGAATTTTCCACTTGTGATCAGTACAGATCTGTTTGTCTAGTATGTGAAGTGAATTTGGTGCTCTTAACCCAATAGCAGAAAATGTTTATTTTCAATGATATATTAGTTTCTTTTGAGCCTTAAATTATTAATTATTGCAGATATACTTCTTTATAAATAATTTTATTAATTACCTTACTGTTTCAGAATTTCTAAATATTAGGTCCTGTGCTTTCTGTCCCCTCAGGAAAAAAAAAAAAAATCAGCATTATTATTATTATTATTATTATTTAGTTTTACAGTTTTACACTTTCATTATCTTTTTGAGACCAAAAGAAAAATAGTACTGTCTGCTGTGACTAGATTTGATCCAAGTGCACAACAGATCAAAAACAGTAGGGAGTGGATAGATGTAACATGAAGGTAGAATATGAGTGCAGTATCTATAAAACTACTCCTTTATTCTACACTCCAGATTGCTTTGGCACAAGTACCAGTCACCTTGATGTATCCATACCATTTTTGTACATAGCTCACTGTTTTTAATTATTGTAGACTGGAAATGGATGGCACTTAAAGAATATAATGTCTTGCCACACTGCTGAAATAACCATTGTGTGGCATATACCTCGGATTCAGATGGAAAGCATTACCTTTCACCAAAACACATCCTTGTTTTCCTTTGTTTCCAAACAAAATCTTTTCAGTGCTGTGGATATTACAGTTAAGATGTCATTGAGAGATGAATGAGAAATTATCTTCATCCTGATAACACAGCACTGTACAACTCACTAGTGAAGACTGACATGAAATTGCTTCTTTAAATCAAGGCGCTGTGTTACTATTTTTCTTGCAAAGGACATCTCATCCCCTCAATCTCCTGTTGTATTGCTGAAGGATGTTTCATGCCTTTACCAAGTACGGTGATACTGGAAGACTAGCAGAAAGGAGTCTTGATTGTCAACACTCAAGGTTCGTTTTTATAATTTTTTTTTTCTATCACTTAAGTAAATATTAAGTTGGAATTATGGTTTATTCAAGTACCTCAGATATATGCACTGCAGTAAATTTAAATCAGCCTTGCTAAACAGTGCTTTAACATTTTCTGCCCAGACACAAATTATGCTTACTTGTCTCTTACCATGCCCATTCAACAATAATGGCCAAATGAATGACATTTTCCTTCCTATTCAGTAAAACAGTCATGATGAGTGCCAAGCAAGTAGAATTTTTCATGTTTCGTGTGAAGAACTGTTACATAAATCTCAGCCCAAAACCAAAATATGGGGAGGGGGAAGGGAACTGGGGAGGAGGTTGAATCTGAAAACAGAGAACTGGCTCTTTCACATTAATTTTGGGTGTTGGTTTCTTAGGTGTTTTGCTTGTTTATTTAGATGGACAATAATATTGTAATATTCTAAGAAGCTATCTGCACTAGACTAACAAAGTGCCCAGTCTAGGTGCATTCCAGATTTGGTCAGGTCTGTGCTTTAGTAAGTCTTTTTTGCATCAAGGTGAGATGCAGAATTAGCCCTTTGATGAGGTTGAATCTAAAATGGAACAAAGAAATGATATAATTGCCTGTTGCAATCGCCATGATCTAGATCGTTGACGTACTTAGAATGAAGGTTTTTAACTCAGGGAAGTATATTGATTGACTTTCAGTGATTAAATCCATCTAACTCACCTGAATAAGTACTAAACAATTCATTGAGTTTTGCAGGATGACGTTTTGGTGGCGTCTTCCCCTGATGACTACCCTCACATTCCTGACCACTTTCCTCTTCTATAGTTAGCTCTTCTAGTCACACACTGTGGTGGATTAGACTGTCAGCTTGTCAGAGCAGGGACTTTGTGTAAATACAGTCCCTTGTTTAACAGTTCAATCCTGCTTGTGGCTAAAGCTTTTGTATATTAATAATCTGAAAGTGGTATGTAACAGAAATTATTGCAATTAGTGGAGAAACACTGGTGTAAAAGTGATGTAGGTGAAAGCAGATCAGGCCTATTGGTACTGAGTCTTAAAAGCTCATTGCTAATAGAAAGGGAAAGCCTGGCCTCCCTCCTTGCTTATCACTTTTCTTCCTTCTGTTTTGTGCCCTTTTTTTCTTACCATGAACTGGTTCTGTCCTTGTACAAGTACACGTGCAAGTGATGCCTCCTATTCTAGGAGCTCTTGAGCTCACTATTCTGGCAGAAAATCCAGCACAGTAACAACAGCACCAAAGTAGATAGTTTTCTGTTAAATTAGTGAGCTGGAAAGCAAGTGAACGCCAAAGCCAGTGCAAGGAAGGAGGGAGAACCTCAGTGGTTCAGAGAAGTTAGCAAGCAGGGAGAACTGAAATCCTCACCCTTCGGTGGCATTAAACTCTTACATTGCCATGACTTCCTCCTCAGTTAGTGTTTGTAGAGATACCACAGGACTTGTTCTAGCAAGATGCTGGGAACCTTTAACTTCCCTCTGGAGCCAGTATGCTCTGGATTGCTGCTATAACTTAGAGTAGAATTTGTCTTAATCAAGATCAAGCTCTGTGAGAGCAAAAAAACCTGCTTTTTCCACAAGGTTGGATGCTGGCTTCTCAAATCATTCTTCAACCTTCAGTTTGGACATACTTCATTTTTCCATAATAAAACAGAACTTTCCAACAACAACAACAAAAATATATTCTCAAAATATAGTTGAAAATATTTGTGTAGCTTAGCTTTTTAAGTTAGTTGTTAAGTGCAGTCTGAACTCAGCTTTGACACCTTTACAAAGATGTATAATTTCTGTTGGCTTATATGACAGTAAAGGATATGCTTTCTAAAGAGAGAGGTTGATGCCAGGCACTGAGTTATACAACCAGAAACATGGTTAGAGTACAGTTCAGAAAAGCATTTACTATGGGCTCAGCTTTAAGTACATATTTAAGTGAAACATTAATCAGCAAGCATTTTGGTTGCACAGATCTTGGAGAATGTTACTCAAAGATGATATAAGTACCTTGCTGAACCCTTAGGGCCACTAGTTTCTGTTGGACTTCAGTGCAAATATTTAGGTACTTGGTACAGCTTGTGAGCCTGAAAACAAGTGGTGCTGCAAGACATTGAATCAGAACACCAGATTCTTACTGCAGAAAGAATGTCTGTCCCTGCAGCCGCTATTCATCAGAGCAGTACTCTTGACATGATCAGTTGCAAACTGAGTACCAGGATTGCTTTCATGAAGAATTAGCACTTTGGCTTGGATAAGATTGTGATTGCATTTTCCAGCAGCCAGAACCTGCACTTACTCTGGTTAATTTTGTTGTCAAGTTCCTTCACTGAGTTTAGTAGGCACCATGTATCTCTCTGTGCCTGGGATACAAACAGTGCAGAAGCCTTGTAACATGTTGATGCAAATTGATGATGTGAAAGAAAATGAGAGGAAAAAGAGAACCAAATCTGAGAAAGTTCATGTAAACGTGAAAGAAGGAAGAAAATATAGGCTGTGCATGCCAATTCTAGGCACATTTCAAGAAGGAAATCTGTCAAACCATAATTGGTTTTATGTTAGCTGATCTGGAATTGAAAGAAATCTGAATAAACCTGTCTGAAATATCACAATCCACAAGATATCAGGCCTTAATGAATAACAATTCATTGCAAACATTAAAAATAAATAAATAAAAGGAAAACAACATATTTTTATAAACCTTTGTCTAGGAGCTATGTCACAAAAGATTCCTCACGCCACACATGCCTGTATGCCATAGCTATTAATGGCTTTTCATCTTGGGCAGGACAATATGCACTGAAATGCATTACCCCTCCATTTTGGGGATGCTGAACTGAATATTCTTTTGGGTCACCATTAACATGAGTTTAGGTTGCTCAGCATGGCTCCAAGGGGAGTCTATATTCCCATTTAACTTTTCCATCATTCTAAAAATGATAAAACAGCAACTGTTACATAACATCATTCATCTCCCAGTGCTTTATGAACAAAAGTACAATGATCTAATACATGCAAGCAGTGTAAGAGAAAAGGCTGCGGAAGGGAAGACCAGGCTTTTCATAGGGGAGGGTGCTAGGAGAGGCACAAATGTAAGTAGGCTTGACTGGACTGGGACATCTGAAACATGAGATCACCAGAAGCAGTGAGGGAGGGAGGGAGGGAGGGAGAGAGGGAGGGAGGGAGGAGGAGAAGGAAGGAAGGAAGGAAGGAAGGAAGGAAGGAAGGAAGGAAGGAAGGAAGGAAGGAAGGAAGGAAGGAAGGAAGGAAGGAAGGAAAGGGATTCACTCTGTGGTCCCCTTTGTGCTTTCCTGCATGTCTCTGGCTGACTCTACAGTTAAGAACTGAATGCCAGCATCTGTGCACTGGGACCCATCTGGAGGGGGCCACGATGCAGCATGAACAAATCCCTCTTTCATTTTTATTTGGGCTATATAAAGAGAAAATGGCACTTCCGCTGACTGTTCCTCGGCTTCTCCTGTTGCAAACACTACTTCCTGAGGCTGTTCTTGCAGTAGTGGTAGTGGTGATGAGAGCTGTTGAGTCACAGCGCATTGAGCACTCTCTGAAGTAGCTTTGCTTCTCCTTGTGCTTCCATCCACTTCAAAATAGGTAACAAAGGAAATACCGGTGCACTTTCTCTCACAGAAAATACATAAGTAAAAAGCTTTTCTCTTCTGCAACATGTCAGTGAAGCTAGTTCTGAGGTAAAACAGGGAGACCATTTAGTGGTGTGCAACAGTTCTGCTTAGCCATAGTGAGTAATGTAGCTGCCCAGCTGAGATTTGTTTGGGTCATTTGGCAAGATATCATGCTCAGTAGTGAAATTTGACAATGTCCTGCAGACAGATTGCCACCGTACTTATGGAAAAATAAAAAGAGAGCTTGATAGACCTAATGACTTTGTTTGGTCTTGCAACTTGCCCAGTGTAGGGTCAGTATGTTGTATGGTGGTCAGCGTGTTGGAAAGATCTCACTAGTAATGAGATTGATCCTGTTCAGGATAGAGCAGCAACAAGAAAACTGTGAGATAACACTTTAACAGAATATTCCTGCTTTTGGTGCAGCTGTCATTGTGTGACCATCAACTTCACTAACCTCCTCTGTTAAGCTAACTTAGTTATTTTTTAAAAATGAAATAGAAAAGATCCTTATAATATTATAGCCATTAAAATCATTCTTCCAAGGCATTCTCCCAAGGCCATTTTGTGTATTTGTAACTTTTCTAAGTTTTTCTTTCACTGTCTTGTTGTATGCATTAACTGCTCCTCACTTCTCTTTGTTACCTTACTGGATTTCTGTTGCTTTTGCCTTAATTTGAGACCTAAGTGTGCTGATACTCTTCACTGAACTTGGATCATGCTGTCTGATGTTACTGTGGAAACTCATACCAGGAATAAACATGGAAATTCTCCAGTAACTACTTTTGGGTCCACTTTCTGGAATATCCCCCGTATTTGTATGATGAAACATTGTGAAAAATATGGGTATTATATAATTAAAATCATGGCTAATTATATGAAATAAGAATATTTATGGCAATTGTAATACAAAAAAAAGTAAAGCTTGTAATGATATGACTAAAAACTTAATTGGAATTAGAAGTTGCAAAGAAAAATAGCTTATTTAAAGAAAAATAACAGCACGCATACACAATTAGCATTAAATATTGCAGTGCTTTCTTGCTTGTGTAATCTAATATAGTGTCCTTATTTGGTATTTCTTGATTCCCAGGTATCCATATTGTATTTTTACCAGGGCTGAAAAAGGCAAAACCATAGGCAGACCTGGAGTTGTTGTTAACTAATGCATTGAAGATGGTTTGTTTACCTGGAGGCATTTTTTTCCTTCTTTTCTCAGTAGTACCAGCTGGTGTAAGAAAAGCACACCTCTCTCCATAAATACTGAAAGAAAGCATGTTTATAAGCTTTGTTGAAAACACCTGAGGATTGAACCCAGTGATTGTAGCTCTAGATTCTCACCACAACGTCATCACTAC